ATTGGCCTCTCCAGTCATCTCTACGCTCGCCAATGCTTTCTAGATCTACTGGAAGAATGTCTTCCTCATACTGAGGGATTGCTGTTGCTGATGATGACAGTACAACACTATGTAGGTAATAAACCTGACCAAGCTTTTGCCAACAAACCAGCCTGTAGTTGTTGTTAATGTAACATGGAAGTCTCCAAGAGAACATACACTCGTGGCAACAGCACCAGTAACACAGACAACACCTTGACAGACAACTCAACTGACCACAAGAGAAAACTGAGGAACAACAGAAGCTGGGAAAGAGTGCTAGAGATCTTTCAAATGAATCAGAAGCCAGATACCCTCCTTCAGAGTTCTCAGCTTATCCTTGATGTGATCCAATACTTGCTGTTAATATTAGAAACCTGAGACCCTGTAAAAAACCTGCAAGGACTTCAGGGAAAACACCTGCCCAGAGGGCAGGAGAGAAGATCTGAAGAGAGGGGCACACATGGGTTTCAGATCTCACATATGGCTGAGGGTAATCTAGGGTAATACCTGACAACAAGTGTAGGGTAAGAATCACAGCTTCATTCTTGCAAAGAGACTCCATGGTTCCCAAGATATTTTTGCCTCATTGTTGCCTCATGCACCTTTCATCCTACCAGGTAGCATACCTAGGGATGGGTATGTGAGGCACCAGCCCCAGATACTGATTTAAAGGGGGCCCTTGAATAGCGGCCCCCCCAGAGAGTCTGTCCTGTGGCAGCTGCAGCCTGTGTGGGAAAAACATGCTGTGGCAGCGGCAGCTGGGGTCAGGTAAGACTCCCCCATGTTCAGTACCCAGCTGCCTCTCCTGGCACATGGACCTAGAGTGCAAAAATTGCTAGTTATGTGCCTGCTCCTACTGTACCCCTGGGGTCCCCCACACTTGGCAATAAGGCCATACAGTCTGCAGGATGGACAACATTCAAACATTAGGACAGATATTTTTGCCACTGGATGAACAGCATTCCATTCTTAGCTAAACCTTAGCACTTAGCTCTTCTGTGGCTTGGATCCATTTACAGGGAGGTAAAAGTACATTTTAAGGTAAAGAGTAACGCTTGAATGGTGGCATTTTATATTTTTCTCTTAGCTGCAATAGAGTGTTTTTTCTTTTAACCAATTTCTGTTTCAAGAAGGACTTCTATCTTGTGTGTTTTTCCTGCCATTAAAATATTTGTTCTGTTATGTTCACATAAAATAGAAGGAACTTATTATCCAGAACACTTTATTGGTTCATTGTGTGATAATTACTATTTTATTATACCAAACATGCCCATTGCACAGGTACTTCCAGTGGGACATGAGAATAATGCAGTCATGTACATCTAGGAGGATTTTTTTTTTTGGATGTTATTCTGTGCCTGAAAGAATCAGACCCTGGAAATTAGCCTGGGCCTGATTCCTATTTTTATCAAGGCCTCCTTTCATTATTTGGCTGTATACAGTTCCACCAATTTTCCTTCCTTCTATTCTGCAAAGTACTGAAATCGGGCTTTAGTGTAAATGACAATCAGTTCTTCTACCTGCAGTACCTAAAACTTGGAGAAGTGACTCTGTTGATGTACTTATGTAGACTGGGTCAAGGTTTATAAAAGACTATCAATGCAAATTCTATAGGAGACTGGAGGATCCAAATATTATCTATTTCAGCCAGGCCAAAAATCAGATAAACTCAGAGTCTTTATGATGTCTCACAAGGCTATCACAATTTTCTACCTGTGTCTACATATTGTATTGAATAGTGTATGATAATGGTCCTCAGTGTGCCAGTGATTCCAATCTTAAGTAGGGAAACAGAGTTGTAGTTAGACAGCTCTGTGCTTAGGGAGCTATGTGACGCCTGGGGCAGTGCTGGCTCCTGTGGTGCCTATCAAAAGTGCATAATCAGCTGCTTCTGGTCATCCCCCCCCACTCAGTTATGCTACTGTAGGGAAATATCTGGCCAAACCTATGCTATATTCCAGGAGCCAATATTTAGATACAGCACACAAACAACAAATTCTTTCTTTGATTCAAGACTTTTCCTGGCACCTGCACTCCATCTCCACTGTGCAGGAAATGCTGAGCTGGTACCACAATGTGATGGCATCTGTATTACAGGGCTGCATCAGACACAAAGTGCGGGTCCAGACTTAAACTCAGATTTGGCTTCTCCTACTCCTGTAATTCTGTATGATCCCAAATATTGGCTATAAAAAGCAATGATGTAGAATAGTCTTAGTTTAGGATTATATCTAAATACATATTTAACTCACCAACCTTACTAACCTACTGGTTGTCCCAGGGTTTGACCCAAATCAAAACAGGAGTGGCACAGCCATTTACACACATCACCTTTCTAAGCGTCACTAGTAGGTGGCCAGTGAGAGCATATAGCCTTCAGATTTGTCTCTGGAATGAACCACAATAATCATACAGATATAGAACAGGATGTGCCAGGAAAAAAGTGTTAGTGCATTTCATCTGGAATACTTCAAAGGACTTGAAGGAAGATAGTGGATATGTATGTCTGTACAATCCTGGGACAAAAGGTTTTCTTCCAGGGCAAATGTCATGTCTGTTCATAGCCTTATGTTCCTGTGACACACCCTGATCCTGGATATGCCTGGGTGCACCTCTGAGACACACTTCTGAAGTGCTCTTGCACCTCCAGCTACAAACTCGGTCCTGTCATTTGCAGCTTGACCACCAAGAACAGACTGAGATGCTCTAAAAGTCACCACCCTGGCCCATGGTGTCTCAGCTATACCTGTCTCATCCAGGCCTTGTCAGCTTTTAGCAGAGGGGATTCTGCCAGATAGAATAATCACACCCTTGTCATGTACTCAGAAAAGATAATAGCTCTCTCCTGCTTCTGGAAAAGAGGCCTGACTGAATAGTCAAGTGCTCTGAGATCACAGTTAACACTAATCTTAAGTGAGTTAAAAGGATAAAGATGTGTTATAACAAACAAGAACAAGCATAAACTGAGATAGAGACAGAGATATAAGAATAAACAAACAAAAGAAAACCAGAACGATAATCTGTTTTTACTCTGCACTTTAAATCCAAGGATGTAGTGTCTAGTCAGCTAAACAGGCTGGAAACAGTCCTATCTCAGACCTTTTTGTCACAGCCTCCTGCAATTTACCTTGCCAGCTTGCTTTACTCAGTCCCTGGCCGGGGACCAACAGCCTTTCCACCTCCAGAAATGTATATATCTCATCTAATGCACCAAATGCCCTGATGGAAAATACATAGGAGAGACCAAAAAACAACTGCCCACCAGAATGAATGCACACCGGAAATCTATCAACGACAAAAATACCCAATTTCCTGTGGGGGCACACTTCTCATGAGAGAACCACTCCCTCTCCAATCTCTCAGTCCTGATCCTCAAAGGGAACTTACAAAACAGTTCCCAGAGATGAGCCTATGAACTTCACTTCATCAACCTCCTGGATACTAAAAATCATGGATTAAATATAGACATTGGATTTATGACACACCTGCCTCACATCTGATTCCCCAGGTACTTCTCCACTATTCATCCTGCTGCCCCAAGCCTGTCTTTCACCCATTGACTCCTCAATCTTCATCTTCACTGACTGCCTGTCTTACATGCATACCAGTCCAGCCCCTGGCTTCTTTACTTTTCATTCCATCCAGGAAGGGCACACACCAACTGCTGAAACTTCCTTAGCCCGATGAAAGTTTTTGAACCTGAAAGCTTGATTAAAAATTGTTTTCCAACTATTTAAGTTGGTTTAATAAAAGATATCAGATTTGCCCAAAGAACCTTGTCTGCCTATTTCCTGGAGGATAAGGCTAAACAGCTTGACACTACCTATCTATAGAGGCTACACACAGCCTATCAGTAAAATAAAGTAAAAAAAACATGCATGACACCCTATGAACTTCCCAGACCATTGTGAGGTTTGTGACATTTGCCACTGCATCACTGGGGCTATCTGAAGTTTAAAGCATTAGTCAGCATGATAAAAATCAGCAAGATTTGACATTTAGTAATCAGGAATCTGATCAGCTTGGAATAAGGGCAAATGATCAGGGTTTTCCCTACATTATAATGGAAATATTAACTATGAAGGGGTAGATTTATTGTAGTGAAAATCACTTGAAATCAACAGGTTTCCCTTTCTCTTTAAGAAATGATTTAAAACTGAGAAAGAGCTGTGGCCTCAGCTTGATTCAAATTTTTGTGGATGTGAAATATCAAAATGATTTCCCATGTCACAGGGCAAAGGAAAGAATTACTATGGCTGGCTGTACTGTGATTATCTCTAGTCTGTTTACAACAGGCCTTGTGAATTACAAAATATACTTTGCTGCAGGAAATCAAATCATGCAATAATCAGAGTTTAACAGTTAAACACCCTAATTAAGATAAGACATTTTAAATGTGATACACTGCATTATATTATTGCAATCCATTCTTCAGGACAGCTGGTTCCACATGCATTTCAGTTCTCCAGAGCCACATGGGACAAAGAGATTTTACTAATTTGATTTTTCTTTCCCTTTTACTTTTCCTCTTCCCTCCTTTCCTTTCCTTATGTACTGTGCTTTTCTACACGTATTCTGTTTTATTACTGCCATTCCCCCCTCACCTCCCTTTCTGTTTGCCTCATATCCCATCATATTTCTGTTTGCCCAAACTTTTTATTTGACTCCCAACAAAGATAATGGAATGCACTGATGCATTTCTTCAAGGAGCTGACACAGTGGGATCTCCCCTGCTGCCTTTCTCAAGCACTGAGATTGATTGATAGCACTGAAAACTCTGGTTTTCAGGAGCATATAAACCAGCCATAAAATATTCTTGATTCAGACTTGACACGTGAAAACCGGACTTAAAATTTATTTTCTTTAATAATATTTTCTAATCAAAAAGGGCCAGACTCTCAGTTAGGATGCAGGCCAAAGTACTTTAACTCACTCATATTATACTCAAGTGCAAAAAATGACAAGAAGGAACACAAAGGTTCATTAGGTTTCAATATTTTATTCATCTCCTGTCATTCAAATGAGTTCAATTTTTTTCCAAGACAGCACAGTACAGCTCCTTCAGTAACATATGGCAGGGATTACTTCCCTCTAACATTTTAAAAAGAAAACAATTTGAAGGTGGTGAGACAATAGGGTCATTCAGATGCTGAGGTGCTGCAAATCCTTTGGGTCACCTCTTAACAGGCCCTCACCAAAATGAGTGCTGATGCCCTGATTGGTTACGCTGTAAACTGCGTTTCAAAAGCACACCCAAAGCCCAGAAAAACCTCTACAGAACTAAACCAACAATAATAAGTCCCAATAATAAGCCTCTCCCTCACCGGGTCAAAAATAGTGCCAGAAGCAAAGAAAAAGGAACACAATCTAGCTCAGATAACACTCCTAGTTTGATTAACAGCCACCATCACAAGAACACTGGGTTATGGCAGAAACTGCATCTTTAACTAATCTTGTGAGGGCTACAATGACCTGAGTCTATAGTGAATATATAAGCTTAATTAACGTATGATATGCTGCAAATAAACGTTCTATTCTTGCCTGTATAAGCCAAATCTTACTACCATGGCTCTTGGTAAAAGTCATAGCTGCAGCTGAAAATCTGTTAGGAGAGAAACTTGCAAAGTTTCAAACTCCCTTTCACTCAGGGAGCTGTAAAAAGACTCTCTCAAAAAGTGGGCTGTGTTGACTGAGAAAAGGCAGTGGTCAGAGCAGCACTGGCAATGTCTAATTCAGTGAACACCTCCCCCCAGGTTGCTTTTGCTGCTGAGATTTACAAAGGCCTGACCTTAACAGAAAGAACAGACAGGTCAAGCAAAGTTCCTGGTAGCAATACTGCCTGCCGTTCATCTCAAGAGCATACAGACATGCAGGGAAGTGCAGTTCACTCCTCCCTGTGCCAAAACCAGTAAGTCTGACTTTCTAAATTTTTTTAATACAAAAGCTTTGTAGATTTAAAAATCTTAACAGTACCTGAATGAGATCTTTGGTATGATTTGCTATGAAAAGAAACAAACAGAATGTGCCAGGATTCTGGACTCCTTGATCCCAAAGCCAATGGGAATTTGGCCTGAGTAATGAGTTCAGAATTCAGCCTAGATGAAAAAGCATGTGTTGTGCATCTAGGTTCTGCCGTGCTACCCATTGGGTCATCCATAGTGCTACTGAACTATTAATCAAACCAGTGATCTCCCATGCAGTTCCTGTTCCACTCCAATCCACAGTTCCAGCACCACTCAAATCTGCATTGAGGTCGAGGACATTTCATGTGCATGCATCCACCTACAGAAAAAAGGAACCAGAATATTGGTGGTGTTTGGCAAACAATGTAATGAGAACATCAATAAGTCCATTAACCTATGGTGACTGGAAATTAATTTTCAAAGAGTTAGATCAGTGACTCTCAGCCAGGCTGCTGCAGCAACCTGGGTGGCTTGAGACCCTTTCTGGGGTGCCACAGGATGCCACTTAATGTTAGCACTCTTGGGGCATGGCCAGATAAACATGCATGTGCTGTGTGAGGTGCTGCAAACTGCATGCAGAGCATGTGCAACTGCGTACCATGCTGCAAATATGCAGCAGGGTGCCAAAATTTGATGCTGGGAACTCCTGGCATTAAAAAAGAAAAAAATCATGGCAAGAAAACCAAAAAACCCCCTCAAATGCATGATGCATGTTCCAGGAGTGCATGCTGGTGCAACTGGAGGCTGGGTCCTCTAGGGAGATGCTCTGACTGCCTGTCAGAGAGTCTCCCCTCCTCTAGCTCTGTCCTGGTTTTTCCAGCAGGCTGGGAGCCAAGAGAAGTGGGGAAGAGGCAGTTTGCTGGAAGCATTGTAGTGTACTTGCAGGGGCGTGGGCAGAGACAAAAAGTAGTGGCACAAAAGTGCTACTTTTTGTACTACTGCAAATACACTCCCCTGCATGGGGGGGATGTGACCTTGGCATGAAAATATGATTCACAAGATAAACCTAGAGATTTCAAATAGGAATTTTTCATGTAAAAAATGTTCTAACCTGCTGTGGTCTTTCTGAATTCTTTGGAAAACCAAAATTGCTGTATTATTTTTTCCATAGTCAAGAATGAGTGGAAACTAAGAACTGGCACTTTCCAAGGTTCCCCAAGTCTAACGAGGGGTGCCTTTAGTCTAAAGATTGGGGAGACCAGAGTTGGAGAATGCCTATTAAGCTCATCTATAAAGTACAAGGCAGTGCAAAGGATGTGGAATAACATATCTGTTTGTACATTCCTTTATTGGATATAGCTAGCAATTCTCTGTAAGCAGGGATTACCCCACAGGTTGGAGGAGTAGGGATTGCAGCTCTGTCTGATCCTTAACCACAATGTGCAAGATGTAGGGAGACGAGAAGGCACCTTGGGCATTTCCTC